TACGTCACGGGTAGTACCAGTTGTGCTGGTTAGACCCTGCTCCGGAGTAGGAGCTAATTTGGGTCTCGAAAAAGGCAGTCCGGTACTAAAATCGCACCCAGTTCCAGCGGTGTGAAAATGACAAAAAGTGGGTAGTTCCACAATTTGTTCTGGTACTATGAAAAGGTTCCCGCGGTGCGAAAGGCCCTATTGACTTCCAGAGTACTTTTTCCATAATATGGAATTCAATAGCTAACTGTTTGGTTACCCACATTCTGTAAAATATCTTTGGTGTTCAGAAGGAGAAGGAAACTCATACAGGTTTGGAATCATAAATGATGACAGAATTTTCATTGTTGGGTGAACGATCCCTTTAAAATGTACAGTCGATAATCTCTGAAACACTCACTTTATTTGTTACAGTAAAGTTCTAGCAGTCACAGCTGCCAGTTTTTTTTTATAGTGTACACTGTATATCATTTCAGTCCATTTTAACAACAGTTAGATGTTTTATTTTCACTTTAAACTGCTGATTTTTGATGCTCTAATCACAATAAATAATGCCACTTCCATTTAATGATGATTAGCATAAGCACCTCTATTCACTTGATATAAAGGATGGAAGTTGTTAGCCTGTGAATGGTGTGTGAGTGGAGGGGCTTTTCTCTCAGCCCACCATCTGAAAGGGCACGACCGCTGTTTGTTAAGAGCACTGACTTAATTTATTGATTCAGCCTGAAAACCTCTGACATAACTGTGAGCAAGCTATTGCCACAGCAAGATAGTCTCAAGCAGCTGCCAATAAACTGGTTGTCTTCCCCTGTGTTTTGTCCTGTTGTTCTCTTTATTCATGGAGCACTGGAGAACAGCTTTCTCTTCTTTACCATCTGATTAGCTTATCTTAATGAGCACAACTCACTACAGCAGAGGTTAGTCAGTGATCGCCTTGACCTGCTAATCTCTCTCTCAGCTGTGGCACCTTAGCTTTACTCTGGCCTGCAAAGAATGATGTTAATGACACTTTACATGAATAGGGCATAAATAGGGTCTGAAACAAAAAAGTAATTTTCTTTTTCAGCAGTGGTCAGTGAGGTGCTTAAAGGGATAGTTAACCCAAAAATGAAAATTAGCCCATTATTTACTCACCCTCAAGCCATCCTAAGCGTATATGACTTCCTTCTTTCAGATGAATCCAATCGGAGTTATATAAAAAATTGTCTTTGATCTTTCAAGCTGTTTAATGGCAGTCAGCGGGTGTTGCAGTGCATCAGTCCAAAAGAAGTTAAATAAAGCGCATCCATTAAAAAAAGTGTCTCACACGGCTCCGGGGGGTGAACA